AAAACACTTGTGAATTTTTAACCGGGAGGAGGATTACGCCGATCGGATTGAACATCGGACCGTTTCCGGCTAATTAATCGGCGGTATTCCCGCCCGTACCGATCAAAGCGATGTTAATTAGCCCTGCTGCGATCTTTATTTCACCCGCGGCGGAGTCGCGGAACGATTTCGTATCGTTCAGCGGGATTACCGGGCGAAATTACAATTTCAGTCGTAATTCAATTTTCCATGCGCCAACAATACGAACGAAATAGCTGGCGCGTAGCGCGCCATTATTTGAGCGGAAATGAAAAATTAACGGATACGGCCCGGTTATTAATCACCGATTTCGAAATTATTCTCTTCGAAACGGAACGAATAATACATCGATCCTCGACATCCAGTGTTCCGAGAGAGAAGAAGAATTTCGGGATACTTTTCACTTTTCGTGAAAAAGTTTTTTTTTTTTTTTTTCCTTTTTCTTTCGAACGAAACAATTTCCAAAGCAAAGCGGAGGGAGAGTCTACGACGAGAAAATTTCCATCTCGCGCGTTAGTTCGCCCTCTTGTCCAACATTTTGTCCGACGTAACCGTCCTTACGTAACAGGAAACTATTTACTTTGGGGACGCCGGGGTTGATACAAGGGCGGTTCAAATTTGCTTAAATTTTATTGGACCGTCCTCGTAAATTAATTAATCCCAACGTATTTGGACGCTGTCTGACCCGGGTTTAATCGTTTCCCCGAGGCGATCCTGCGCTCGTAACCCCGCGAAGAAAGCTCTTAAACGTACCCAAGGGCGAGATCCCTTGTGGAGGGAGCGAAACCACGCTGGTTCGATTTACCTCGATGGTTCGATGAAATATCTTTCTTCAGTATCTCTAAATCATCTCTCGCGTCGAGCATCGATCTTCACGAATTCGAGTGCGAATACGCAATCTGCAGCACGCTAAAAAAAAAAATGAGATCTGATTTTTAAATTTTATTCCTTCTCGCAAGTTTGTTAAAGATACGATACATTTTGATCAATTTCCACAGCAAAAAGAAGATGTGGGATATTGAAATACAGAGAGAAACTGTCGAGATCGTTCTTTCGCAAGAACTCTCCCTCTTCTCCACGATTTTAATTGTAAATTGCTGGAAATCCTGGGAAATCGGGGGAGGGGGCGATCCTTCAGGAACACCCGTTTCACGTATTTCCACTACTCGGGTATACCAGGGGGTAGCAGGGCGTCGTAATGACGTATTTGCCCCGCAGTTACCCCCTACGTGTTACACCGGCGTATAAGGCGCACCACCACCGTTAACAAGCGCACGAAGACGCGTGATCCTCCGTAATCCTCGAAGGGAAACCCTTTGTCCGCGCCCAACCAACGCGACGCGTGTCTTGTCGTCGAACGCCGCGGAAGCCCTTTGTCGTCTGCGCCAGAAATTACCTCGAATTAATGCCGCCGGCTTTCTCTCCGACCGTCTTCAACCAACCCCCTTTCCTCCTCTCCCTTCCCTCCCCCCCTGCGTTGCCGCGTCGTCGAGCTTCCATCGGTTCTTGGACCCATTGTCCCGGAAACAGGCCGTACGTTGTCTGCTTCTGACGTCCCCTCCCCCTCACCACGCCGGCCGTTGATATTTTTCTCGAAGGGTATGTTCGAAAGCGACAAAATAGAGGAATTTTCCGTGGTAAATAGGGGAGGGGGGAGGGGATTCTCTATATGTGGGATGTTTTGAACGATCGTGGAAATCGTGGTTGAAAAGTTAATGGAATTTGCGAGAGGAAGGAGAGAGAGAGAGAGAGAGAGGAGAAGGAATGGCGGTTTCGAGGATGGTAAATAAGGATGGGCGCAATTTTTCACGTTGTTGTCGACTAGATCCGACGGATTATTCGGGGGAATAAACTAAAGTTTCGGAGAGATAAGAGTCTGAAAGGAAAAGTCGGCGGGGGATGGGATATCGAGGTCAGGAGGAGGAAGCTCGGGTGAGCTGTGAATAGCAAAAATGTCTGACTTTTTGGAGAGGAATTTTTTGAATGGACGATACGATACGGCTGGTGGGTGAATCGGCGAAAGATCGGCAATTGATCCGTGAACTACAGCCTGATAGACCGAGAAGAAGCATAATGGGGAATTGGTTAAAGGATATGAAATTTCTGAAAAATCGATCCCTCTCTTCTTTTTTTTTTTTTTTTCCTCTGTCCTTATTACCTTTGCCAATTAAATAATCGCGGGAGGATACGAACGATCGATTTTCACGATTTTCGGATTCATCGATCGTATACGAGAGATCCCACAAACAAAGCTTCGTTATTTAGTTTGATCGATCAATTGCGGAAGTCGTTACAGAAAGCCACCGCGCTAAGCGGGATTAATAACCAAGAGTAATGCGATTAAAGGGTTTAATTACCGAGCGTGTGTGCTATCGAGTCTTCAACGTCGATCGACGTTGATCATCGTCGATAATCGGGCGAATCCAATATTCGGGGGAAAGGGAATATTTTTTTTTTTTTTTTTTATTTAATTGTCCTCGCTGCGCCGTACTCGTTAAAAGCGTACAACGGAGGGACTTTTACCTTTTATGATCTCGCGCATCGAATCGAAAGCAGTCTTTTTATAAATGGAAATTAAATAGAGATCTCGTGTAAACGTGCATACTCGATGTACAATTGTATGCATTCGATCCTGCAGCTTTGGATCGAAAGTTGCGTCCGGTCATTCGTATTTCCGTTAAAATGGCCTTATTTCGGTCCACGCGGGTTGGAAAAGTAAGTTCCATTGGGATGGAACTGGAGAAATACGAAACGGTTAATCCGCGTCATCGGCCCCGATATGCTCCAGTTAATCGATGGAACACGGTCGTTTCACGCTGATTCGATAACTCGATTCCTTTTTTCTTTCTTTCTTCTTTTTTTTTTTTCTCTCTTTTTTTTTACCGATTCCTTTTCTTCGGCCGCCCATGTTTTCCGATACCACGGTTCGGCTTTTTCTGCTATCTCGAACCAACCCCTCGATCTTCCATTCCACGGTGTTCCAGCGTTTAATTGTTTGCTTCCTGCCCGAGCACAGGCTTTTTGCAAGCGGCATTTGCTCGAAGGAAATGTTAACATTGTGTTCCCCGTGTCCACACGATTGATGAATCACTCTCAAATATCGAGCGTTTCGAAGAAGCGTGGAATGTCGCGGAACGTAATTGCGCAATTATTATTTTTGGTCCCGATGAGAATCAACAATTTCGTGCATCGAAGACACAATTGTTCTATGAATTTGAGGCAGGTTTTTTCACCTCGTTTTATTTTATTTATAGTAATTTTGCTCAACTTATTTCCATATTTAACTGAATCATCAAATCCAATTGGATAAAATTTTAATGATTATAAAATTCCATCCATATCTTTCTATTGAAGATTTATCAGGATTTTATATTATTTTATTCGTTATCTATATTTATTAATTTTCAATATCCTTATCATTTAAGTGATCCAGATAATTTCAATAAATATACCTACTCGTATTAAACCTGTATGATACTTTACGAGCAATTCCTAATAAACTTGGTAAAGTATTTATTTCCATGCTAAATAATTAAATCACTAGAAATAAATTTATTTGTGAGTTAAAAACATTCTTTTTCAAGTGCACATTACATAATCAAAATAGAAATTACATATCGAAAGAAATCACTCTCAAATATCGATCAACGAATCTACCCTACGAACTCGTGTGTTTCCCAATCAAGAACAATAGAGAAGAGAGAGAGAGAGAGAGAAAGAGACAAGATTCGAAAGATAGAAATACACGTGTCTCGGGATAAAAGGTTCGGTATAGGAAAAAGCGAAACGGGCGTTAATCTTAGCTTCCCTTCTCTCCGATCAACTTATCCTCGATCACGTAGCGGCCGAGACGAGAAGCGTTACGATTGAAAGGCGGCCGGCTATCGCTGACCGTAAGCTCCTTTTCCTTTTTCCCCCCTTTGATCACCGACGTGACCGCCACGTGATTTTCTCTCCGCTGGTCTCGCGAGGGAACGAAACTGAACGTAAGGAACGCGTATCGAAGAATTAGCTCGAGGAAAAAAAAAATTCCGAAAAAGTTTTGCCCACCTTTTTGAAATTCTTCACCGAATTCAATCGAAAGGATGAACTTTTTCTTTTGACACTTTTGACTGCGATCTTCTTGGGAAGGGAATAGAGAGGGAGAGAGAGAGAGAGTAGAATAGAGAAGATTCGAGAGATCGTTAATCGAGCAGCTTTCACCGATGATGATTCAGCACGGTTGGGTAATCGACTGCGTTCGGTCAGGGATGAGCCACGTGTTGACTTGTCGGTAAGCTTGGACCATTAGTCTCCTCCCCGATTTCGAGAGGGAAATTTCGCTCATCCTTGACCTTTCTCACGTTCCCAATAAAACGTATCCGTCTTAATATTTAAGGAGAATTAACGAGATATTCGATTATCGTATCGAAACTTGTATTTTGTTAATTCCCTTATGATATATCCGTTTTAATAATCTTTACTTGATCGTAATAATTTATTACATTTCAATGATCAATTTATTATAATTCAATGAACTATTAATAATTAATTTATTATAGTTCGATGATTTCTTATATTCGTATTATTTTCAAAAAAATATTTGTATTTTATTTCAGAGTAGCAAACTCGTAAACGAATATCGATAGCATTTAGATCTCGCGTTGCATCTCATTTATATCGCGAAAAGTAGTAAGAAGGAAAAAAAAAAAGAAGATATATAATAGAATAATAAAAGGTAACCGGACGCCTTTGATCTTATTTTCTTACCAAAGGGGTTTATAAAACGGGATCTACGATCCCGAGGAAGAAAGTTATCGCCTCGGGAGATGAACTTCGAAAACGACGTTTATTTATCCCGGCAAAAAAATCGATGATCCATCCATCCCAACAACAAGACAATGCACGTGATAAAGGGAGGGGGGAAAAAAGGGAGGGCGGAGAGGAATCGAGTAGCAGTCGTGGAACCTGTCTAAAGCGGCTTTTCTCTTCTTTTGTTTCAGGAATTGGAGAGAAGTTATACCCTCTCGACCCCGGGGGGTAGCAGCCCCGTTTGCTGCCCGCCCTGCAGCCCGCCCCCTGCGCCGGCCGCATACATATCGAGCGCACGTGCGTCCTCGCGGAGACTCGGCGCCGGAAGCGGAGGTCCACCGTCACCGGAAAGGGACCCCTTGGGAAGACTGTTAAGGTCAGTTCACTCTCCGTTCCCTTTCTCGCGGTCTCTCGTCTAACCTCACGGTTTCAACCTTACGGCGAAACGTGAAAAATGTTTGCTCTACGAGTCGGTGGCCGACTCTCGAGTCTCTAGAGAGAATTTTCAGGAAACGCCTGCCTTCTGTGTCTTCTCGACATTCCGTTGGGATTGGATATAAGTAGCCTCGATGCTAGTAAGAACTCGTTCAACGCTCGTTCAGTTCGTTTTTTTCTCTTTTTTATTCCGGATCTTATTTCACCGAGGTTTACAACCGCGATTTAGAAACGAGTTATACAGAACGAGTAAATATTCGAAATAAAGGAGGGGTTAATCGTCGAGTAGAAATCGCTCCCCCTAAAATTGTGTCCCTTCTCCATTCCTGGCCAATCGTCCGGAAGCGGTAAAACACCCCTCCTCCCTTTCCTTAGGCTTCGCCTAAGATCATCAATCTTGACGCGCGCGACGAATGCATCGTTCAACGCGAAGTTACCATTTAGCACGGCTACGGCCTCGTCGTTTGAGAAATTAACCAGTCAACAGACGATCAGAACGCCGTTGACGCGAATTAATTAGAATCTTAGCGATAAAAAAGAGGGAGAGGGGGAGCAAAGAGCACGCGATCGTTATCGAAGCGGGAGCGACAAAGTTTCTAATTCGATCGATAAAAAGTGAGGGACGATTAAAAAGTCGTTCGAGATTGAGTCAGGAAACGTTTGCATCTTTTGTTTTTTTTTTATAAAGATCCCTTCGAGGTGAGCTTTCCTTTATGAAAACAAATTAAGAAAATTTCATCCTCCTTTTCCTCTTTTCTTTCGCTCCTTCGTGCAAATAAGTCAACATTCGTAAGTCGTAATTCCTCTCTTCTTTCTCTCAAATTTCCTTCGCACAAATTATTTTAAAAATCACAGTTTCGACGTGTAATTCCACTTCATATTTTCCTCACTTCATTCTCTATTCATTATGACAACAATTCGAAAACTTTGATTTCCTTTTCTCTCTCTTCTTCTTTCCATTCCCTCTTTCTTCAATCTCCCTTTGAAAATTTCTTTCGAGAAAAAAGCCAGGCTCGTGTCTCATCAACATTTTCCTCAACGAAACATTTAACGACGATTTTTCTCGACTTCCGTTTTCGTGGACGAAAGCGGTCGCTGGAAATTCGTGGAATCGGGAAATGGGCAAACTGTGCCGTTTAAACACCGCAAACTTTGGTGATTTCAGATTCCTCAAGTCCTTCTACAGGGAGCTAGGCACTCGCGATCCACCCCATTTGCCGGCGTGGGCCTCGCCACTTCCACTGGGCACCCTTTGTCCGGCGCATTTCCAGCCGCACCTGCAGCTGCTCCACAAAGGCGAGCAGGAGCACAGGCTCGAGAACATCAAGCCCGACCAGATCTTCGCCCCCGTCAGGGTGAGTGTTGTAAATCATCCCACGGAAACTACTACTTGCTCTTGTGCTGGGACGCGCTCGTAAAACTTGCGTGCAACGAGGAGGACCGTCCTCCTCCGCACAACCTGGTGGATTTCGGTTTTCGAGAGCAAAGGAATTTCCTTCGAGAGGAAATTTTCGAAGGGGTCCGATCTCCAGAAGAGAATACAGGTGTCCTCTCGTCGCGATAACTTCCTTCCCCCCCTTTTCCAATGTTTTTCCTCTTCAAATTCTTTAATTACGGAACGAGAGAGTGCGTCTGTCGAGGATAATGGTAGGTAAATTTGGAAGGGATGGAACGTGCGATTGTTGATTTAATTTGTTCTTTTGATTATTAAAGTGAAAACTTTACTTTTGCACATTTATATATATATATAAATTTTTATTCCATTATTACTTTTCTTTTTTTCACTTGTATTGCTTTCCATCACTGTATTGATTTATTTCGTTATTGAGATTAAAAGTCATTCGCGTATTTCATCTTTCTTAAAAATTAAAAGTGAGAGTATAAGGCAGAAGTAAAAATCTTGGTATCTTTTAAAAAAAGAAAGGAAGAAGAAGCGATCCATCCTTCTTGGAATTATATTGTTTCGACGTGAAAGTTTTTTTTTCCGAGTGCATTAGACCTCTCCCTCCAATTGTAACAACAGGGGAAATCTGTCGCCGGTTTACCAGATTTGCATGATATCGACTACGTAATTGCAAAAGTCAAGTTTACCCTGGACAGATGCTACTACAATCCTCCCCTCGACGAATGCTAAAACTTGCCACTTCGGCAACTTCGCGACATGTGAGAGCAAAGTTACCAGCGTCCGTATTTTCTTCGCCGCGAATCTCGATTTCGTTACTTTTATATCTAAAGAGAGAGAGCTTTAGAACTTTTTGATCTTTCTCGCGAATGCCGCGTGATTCCAACAGGAAATCATGGGTTTATAATTGATCTCACTCGCGAGTGTGATTTCGATGAATCATCCTCGCGTTATCAGGAAGGAGAAACGAATAAAAATTGAATCGCGATATTAAAACATAAAATATTACGTAGTATATATACGAAAGATCGAAGTAGGATAGGAAAAATATGGATTCGAATTTGAAAATATCCTTTCTTCTTGAAGCTTTATTCCGTTGAAATCCATCTTCGAAAGATCGTGTCTAAAAACGAATCGAGTAATGCAAGCGAAGCAGCGTGTTAAACTTTTCGAGGAAGGGAAAGGAAGGGAAGAGAGGTGAAGGAACAGAAGATTCTCGACGAGTTACAAGATTTTCATTCATTCGTTGCGTCTGTCGATGTTTGTTGCCATGAAAGATGAATCCTCTGTCCGAGCAAAGTCGTCCGAATCACAGTAGCAAGTTTCGATACGTTTTGTCTTCCAATCAAGAGAAATTCTTCGAACAGAGAGCTGTTTCCCCAAACTATCTTTCTGAAACTGAATTTACAAGTCAACTATTCGAAAGACTTCTTATGGGGGAATTTATCGATCGAACAGCACGTTATTCGGACGGAGAAAGCGAAAAGGTTGGCAATTAGAGAGGATCTTTAAAACTTTCCTCTCGACAAGTGCAAACGAGGATGATAAAGAGAGGAGGATCCTCCTAGAGGGGGAAGGAGGATGGATGCGAGTGCAATCGGAGAGGAACAAATATTCTTGAGTTGAGTTCTCACGTTCGTGTAACGAAAGAAAAGGGGAGAAGAGAAATTAGACGATTCTATTTTTTCCTCGAAGGAAAAGTGTTAAGAAATAGAGGAGGAAAAGAAGGATTCATCTGGAAATCTTTATCGTGTCGTTTCTAGCATCGAATCGAGGACATTGTTTTCCTCGAAAAGATATAATTATATGGATCTTACAATTGAAGGAAAAGTATGGAGAATTTGAATTTGAGAAGAGGAATAGGGAAATGGAAAGCTTCACGATGTCGTTTCTAACGTTGAATCGAGGCGAATCGAGAGTGTTATCGTCGCATTTTTCTCGATACGATGAAGCAAGAGAATAATTCTATCGGTGTTAAAAAACGGAGCAGAGGAGGAAAAGAAATCTTTACCATATCATTGTTTTCCTCGATGCGACGAAAAGAAAGAGAAATTAGAAATTCTATCGATCTTAAAATTGAAGTAAAAGTATCGAGAATTTGAAATTGAGAAGAGGAAGATGGTCATCTGGAAACTTTCGCGACATCGTTTCTAGCGTTGAATCGCCGCACAAATATGCCCGTACCGAGTTTTCTCGACACGATGAGATTGGAAAATTGCATCGAGCTCGGTTGGAAAGGCGTTAAGAGTTGGAGACTGGGAGAGATGATCGTCCAGAAACCTTCGAAACGATGTAGTTTCTAGCATCGAATCGAGGGGTGTTATCGTCGCAGAAAAATATGCCCGAAACCGAGTTTTCCTGCGATCTGATCGAAGGAGAAGTTGAGAGAATTCCCTTAGTTGGGACGAGAAAGAGGACAAAGATGGTCATCCAGGAACGTCCACTACGTGGTCGTTGAATCGAGTCGAATCGAGTCGAATCGAGGGTATTATTGTCGCACGTAATACTTTCGATGGTGGAAGGTTTTAATTTAAGGTTGGGTCGAAGATGCGGTGAGAGAGACGAATCGAGCGAGCACTCGGTTCGGTTCCGGCGTAACGAGGTATTGTTCTGTCGTGGCTTCGCTCGATGGCTGATCTCAGATGGCCGAGCTTCGCTTCGTTAACGGTTCTCGAAAGCCTTTTTTAATAGCGCCACGGTGATAACTTCTTGCACAATGCACGACCGTCTCTTTGTATCCGCGGAGAACGAGCTCTGGTGATCGAGCTTCGGGTAAATGGAGCTTCGCTTTAATTCCGTCTCGTAACATCGATCTCTTCTTACTCTTGCAACTCTTCTCTTCCTGCTTCGTTTCGCCTCATTGTCTAGACAACACTCGTGGACCGAGAAAATTTCACTTCTCGCGGTATCGAAAATTACTCAACATTTATCCCCGATGTTTGGAATAAGAGGAACGAAAAAGATTTCACCATTGGATCATATTCAATGCTGACGTAAATAAATTTCCTATTATACGATAGTTTGATTTTTTCCAAAAAAAAAAAAAATAAAAAATAAATAAATAAAAAATATTTAAAAAACGCATACATGCGTATATTTTGCTTTTACAATTATTTTTTGTATTTTTCAAAAAAAAATCAATAACGAAAAGAGAAGGAGAATTTTCATTTCCTGGTAGTATATATAATAACTGTACTACATTTATTCTTTCGAAGTAAGTTTAAACTTAAGAAGAAAATTATCGAAATTTTATTTCTTATCAAAAAATCATTCCATTTTTTATCGATATCGAACACGTTACAACAAAACTAAATTCCAACGATTAATCGTATAAATTTTTCATACCTTTCCCCCCATTCGATCGACGCTACGTCCTCTCGATAAACAATAGATGAAAAGAATGGTCGAATCAATACATTCCACGAGAGAGCGGAATTTATCGCGTGCACTGTCGCGAGAAGAATGCGCAGCGCGATAATGAGCGCGTTTACATCGCGAGGCGTCTCGGTTGGTGGACGTTTTTCCGGATCAACGACGACGTTCCAAGACGTCGACGTTCGTTGGAACATCATTTCCATTTTCCCGGAACACGGGTGCAGCGACGAGAGCGTTCTCCAATCTGTCCAGCTGGAAGTAATTTCTTTGTCTCGATGCTCGCCACGAACGCCTCTGAAACGCGCCTGCTGCGATGCAACCCTCCTTCATTTCGCGTGCGGATCTCTCCACCTCTTCTACTCGCTTCCTCCCCCGTCCTCGCGAAAAAGAAGACTATTTACCAACCGTGGACCATTTCGATGCGTATTCACGAAGAATAATGGATAAAAGCATGCACGTGAAAATAATCACGAGGATACAGAGCGGATATATTCTTTTTTTATTTTATTATTTTTTTTTTTTTTTCGAATCGTTTTCACTCGATATAGAATAAAATTGAAACGGGTTGATATCGATGAAAACTTGATATCAGCGTTTTCGCAAATAATATTTAGGACGATTGATGAATTTGATTGATGAAATAAAAAGTTAAAAATGTTAAAATGTAAAATAGTTGTTCGATATATATTACAAAAATTTGATATGTAATTTAAATAAATTCTAATTACGTATTATAGTTACTTGATAAAATAACAGGATTGCAAATGTACAACTTATAATTTTCATTTTAGAAGAAAATTCCATTCTATTATTTTTCTTTGTTCTTTGTTTTTTTCAATACTGATATTCATCGCGCAAAAGTAAAAAAAAAAAAATTAGCAGCAACAGATTTACGAGAGATCCAGAGTCGTAAAGATCGTAACGATAAAGAGGAGATACGGATGAATACCTTCCTGTCAAACTGGAACATCGAAGGCTTGAAATCACAGGTTCGATCGAACGTCCAGACGGATGAAGCGGATATTAGAATATAGGCAGGTTGTACACGATATCTGCCGGAACCTGGGAGAAAATCAAATTAATAATATACGGCGGATCGTAGTTTGATCTAGTTCGAAGAGGATAAGGATAGGCGAGCAACAGACCGTAAATGGACTAGATCCACGGGGATAATAGCTTGGGCTGACAGTCTCTAACGAAGAAGCTGGATAATAAGACTTTTCTTATGGTTGAGCCCTTTATAAACTAGGTCTAGCCGAGACAACCCTCGTGATAAAGAATGCGGAGCACAAAGGCAACGACGAGACACGAATCTTACAGCAATCATCTTCGTGTTCGAAATTACCCTTCGTATTTTAAAATCAGGGGATACAATATACAATTTATGCAATTATTTTTCGAGGATGGATTTCTAATTTAATTCGAATCGGATCGAAACGAATATAAAAATTTAACGATACAATAAATATAATTGTGAAAATATATTTGCACTATAACTTTTCTTCCGTTTATCGTCGATCGATTATCTTAATTCGATTCTCTCATCGATATATCGTCAACACATTCAATACGTATATTTATATAAAGTGCTCGCGATGATTAAGCAAAGATCGATGAACAATCGATTTCTGATCGATAATTCGATGCTCGGGTGGAGGGGAGATTGGAATCGAAAACACGGGAACACGTCCTCTCATAATCGGTTCCGTAAGCAAATTTCTATTCCACAAAGGATGGCTTATCGCGTAATCGATCGGGAACTAGCAATAGTTACCAGCATGATGGAACAAACGACTTTCTCCCTTTATTGCCGTAGCACACGTATTGCATCTCGGGAACAATGGACGCGTGTACAAAGCATTACGCGAAAAAAAAAAGAAGGAAAAAAAAAACAGTTTCGTCGATGCATTGATTAAATCTGTTTTCTTTTTTTTTATGTACGAAGAGCGTAAGAGAAAATTTTTCTCCCTTAGCTTGTCCGCTAAATTCTCGTTACTCGTTATTAGAAGAAGAGCTCGAATAAAAGAAGAAAAAAATAAAGAAAGAAAGAAAGAAGAGATGAACCGGAAATTCGAAGATTCTCTCTCGTTAATCCGTGGCACGTCGATCCTCGTAGCTCGTCGAAAAGTATAGGTGAAGATCAACGCGGGTTACGGATAGATAAGTTCTTTATATATATATATATATCATGTTGGCTGGATAGAAGTTAAAGAGAACGAAACGAAAAGCAGGCTCGAATCACGAACAACTCGTATACCGGAAGTTGGTTTGCCCAGAGTACACAGACACAAGTGGGGCAGCGGTAAGAAGAAAAGTTAGATGCTTCGTGACTAGTTTCTCGGATACTCCTTGGTTTCACGATCCCAGTCCGGTTGCTAATTAGAGAACTTTGAACCACTACTCGCGCCAACCGCTAATCCCATTCGACCGCTCACAGTTCCTCCCCCTCCCCTCACCCATGATCATCGAACTCGCCTACCACCGATTATCAACGTTATCAATCGTTACCAATTTGTCCATGCATTTTTCGATCAATGCGAAACGAAATTAAATATATATATATATATTTTCTTTCCAACTCGAAAATTTTCTTTCTAATCGAATATGTCATCCCAGTTGAGCGACGGCACGGTCTCGGAGGCGCCTCGCCGCGTGGCCATCGAGGGTGGCCCCGGAAGCGGAAGGACGACCCTCTGCCTCCGCCTCCTTCACCAGTGGGCGATCCAAGGCGATGGCCCGGCTCTGGCCTTCATCGTCCCGTTGCGCGAGCTACGCGGCAGCCCCGTGCTCAATTACCTGGCGCGGGAATTATTCCCGAGGACGGCCGCCATCGGCGACGCCATCGCTCAGGTGTGGCGGACGCTCCACCTAATGGAGGATCGCGTGCTGTTCATCCTGGACGGGTACGACGAGTGCGTGGGCGGTAGAGCGTCCCTTGCAGACGCGGTAGACCTTCTGGAGGGACGTTTGTTCCCGGACGCGAGGATCCTGGTCACGTGCTCGCCCGGCAACTCGACCATGCTCTCGCCCCTCGTCCAAAGAAGGATCCATTTGGCCGGGCTGGAGTGGCCCCACGTCGAGAGGCTCTGCGTCGCGTATTTCATCCACAACGACATAGCGGAGAAGGCTTGCGAGTTCCTCGAAGCGTTAAACGTGCAACCCCAGACCGTCAAACAGCTCGGTCAGCACCCTCTCGGTTGGATTATGCTCTGCTGCCTCTACCAGGTATTTATATTTCGAGACTCGTTTTATCGATCTCGATTCTCTCCCAATTTATCGCCTTTCCTGTTGTTGTTTCAAGAAGAAGGAAAGAAAGAAAAAATAAAGAGGAATTTTAAATCTCTCGGTCCGCAGGACTCTGGAAGCTTGCCAACGGAGACCAGCGCGCTGGTTCAAGCCGCGGTTAAGTGCATCGTGAGGCGAAGCCTGGATCCGCCTGTCCCTTACAACGAGGAGATCCCGGGCCATTGCAGGAAACGATTGGAAGACTTCGGTAAGGTGTCGTTGGCCGCGCTCAGGGAAGGCAGGTGTTGCTACACGGAGGCCGAGCTTCGCGCACGGGGCGGAGGGATCGAGGTGACCAGGTTGGGCTTCCTCACCAAGGGATTGACGTTCGGCCAACGGCGAAAACCTGACCTGTACACGCCCATTCACACGGCCGTGGCCGAATTCCTGGCGGCCTACTACTTGACCTCCGTCGCCCAGTACGCGAACATACTTCGAAGAGAGTTGGAGGGGCTGCCGTCGGGGATCATCAGCCACTTGGCCGGCCTGTTGGGCCCCAAGACGCATCTGATATTGAACCAATTGTGCCCGTTGGAGGTGCCGCCAAGGGCCGTGTTCTCGCTGTTGAAGGCAGCCGGCGCCTCGGACGGCAACATCTCCGCCGTGTGCAGACTGGTCGGCGCTGGGCCCGGCTTCGGCCCTGCGCCGAACGAGAGGCCACCGGCTCCTCTGGTCCACACTTCCCCCCTCGAGCTGGAAGGGTGGGCGAGGATCCTCGAGAGCGCGGCGTGCACCCTCGAGGCCCTCGAGGTCGTGTTCCAGGTGGAGAGGGGCTCCGATCCGAGATATCTGGACGACTTTTTCGAGGCCTTGGCCGGGAACGAGAGCGTGAAGCTCGTGAGGATCACGTCCCTTCTTGGACAAGAGTTCCCCGCGGACGAGGCGCAAAAACTGGCCGGCCATTTGAAGAGCGTCCTCGGCAAGAAGAAATTGAACGACTTTGAACTGGTTATCACTTGTCTCGAGGAAGCTGCCCACGATAGGTGAGTTGATCTCTTGTTATTATTAATTCACGTGTACGTGTCGCGAGAAATCGAGGAGATGGATAACATTTTATAAAATGTTTCTTTCTACGCGATTTCGAAGTCGAAGTTCAAGGAGGAAACGTATGCGAGAGGTTGCAACAAGGAAAATTCCCGAGGGGGGGACAGCGGTGGAATATTCGTTAAGGTGACAGGGGGAAAAAACGTCGGGTTGTTTGCGTGAACGTCGAGCGACGTCAGAAAAGTGGATTAAAAAAGTTTCGAGAAGTAAAGAAAAAGAGAGATACGAACGAACAGTTCGGTTTTTAACTCGGCGGGGGGAAGCAAGAGACTGTTTAAACAAGAAGAAATATTTACTAACTATTAATAACCAACTATTAATAACGAATATATTTACTCTGTAACGCGAGAAGTTCGAACAAGTTATATTTGTCACAGGGAAATTTAAAAAATTCCAGCAGCATGAATATTTCTCATCGATGAAAAACTACGGCTTTTAAAAAGGAACAAGCTCGAACCAATTTACCCTTCTTTACGGTGATCGTCGAACGCCTGCAACGAAACGTCTTCTCGGTTAATTTCTCTTCTCGGTAAAATTTCTCTCTCGTTCTTTCGTACAGCGTGTAAGGTCGGAAGATAAATTAAAAAGTTTACTTTGCTCTCGCGTGAAACGGCGAAGAAGACATTTCACCCTGGTGGTGGTTTTCGAGGATGGGGTAAAAGAACGTGTTTATCCAACGAGCTGAGCACGGATGAATATACGCGGAGGGTGTCGATGCTTCGAGTCCTCCCCCCCTCTCCCCATTTGCATAACCGTTCCGGTTTTTCCTGCGTGCGCGCGCGCACGGTTTGTACGAGGGCAGGTGTCAGGTGGCCTGCTTTCTCGCATTTTTTTGCGAGGGAACGAGCACGAGCCTCTTTGGTGAAAAGAGATCGAGATGAAAAGCAATCGCAATTGCAACGATAAATTCTCGAATAACCTTCGCTTCGTGCCCAACCCCCTCGACTCGAAAAGCTGTCTCCAATCTGTTTTCCCTTTCAATCGCCGGCAAAGGTCGAAGAGGAGAGAATTATGATTCTGAAAAATTGCACGTGTAGCGACCACGTCGGAAGATGAATAACGTATCCCTGTTCCGTGACGCGGCTCTTGGGAAATTATCAATTCTCCGGCATGTTCTTCCCCTCCCCCAAAAAGCAAAAGAACTCGAGAGCAATGAAACTCTCGAGGATGTTCTTCCGCGAACAACGTATCCACCGTCTTTGAGGACTGGATTTTTCACGCGTGGCGAAAAGGGCCACGGCACTCGATATTCAAAGCACGGCGAGCACGGGAACCGGGCCGCGAGCAAACGCGGCAACAAGAGCTGGGTAACAATGAGCGGCGGCCGTCGAGAGGGGTTGTGAATCGCGACTGCATAAAGTCGAGGCGGAGGAAAAGTCGAGAAAGTGGCGGAACAATATGCCGGGGCCAGGAATGGGGCGGATTTTTCTCTCCCCCTCCTCGTCCCTTTTCGCCAAGGTTGTTCACGAAGTCGGTTTTCGTGGCCCGTGGCGAAGAATTAAAGAGGACGACGACGCTGCGCTTCGAATTTTCTCTGTCTCTCCTTCCACTTTATTCTCTCTCTCTCTGTGTCCCTCCTTGGCCCTCGAATCTCCCTTCCTTTCAACTTCTTTCTTTCGGATTTCGCCTCCCTCCTCCGCTTCTCCCTCGTCCGGATTGCATTGCGGATCGCTTCTCCGTTCTTTTCAATCTCGGAGGTCTCCTCTTCCTCTTCCTCTTCAACTGTCCCCCTCGCGATTCCTTCTGCTTCTTTCCCCCTCCTTTGTCTCCGCTCTTTGAAACTTCTCGAAGAGTTCTTTCTCGCGAGAGTTTGCGCCGATTCATAATCTTTCCTCCCGCAAAGGAAAAACTTAGCCACGACGAAACGCTTTGACGTTTAACGTGAAAAACTTGGCTACAATTTCACAAGGCACAATCAAATTCTTCGGCTCCCTTGATCTCTCGTCTCGTTTCGGCTCCTCCGATCCAATTTCTCCGATTAGAGATCCCTAAACAAAGTCTTCTTCGAGTTCCATTCCTCCCCCATCTCTTTTATTTTCCAATTTTCGCTCTGTGTTTTGACTCTCGTCGTCCCATTTTTCATCTCTCTTTCTCTTTCTCTCTTTTCTCCGCATCTACTTTGAAGATTGTTTCCAAACCGAAATATCGAAGAAGAATTCCACGTGAAAAACGCGTACGCCTCCTGCGAAGAGACGTTTAACCACCATTTGCCCGGAGGCGGGACATTTTCGAGCTCATCGAGAAAGTGTTTCGCCCCTTCCTTTATCCGTCACCTCCCCTCCACTCCTTGCGAGATAGAAACAAGGAGCGTCGAAAATTGGGCAGGAATCTCGATGGAGCTCGCCACAAAGAACGGCAGCCTTCGATCGATAGATCGAAGAGATACCGCCGAGTCGACGACGAGGAGTCATCCGGTTATTCAGCAGCGTCGAGAGTGCATCGAGCGGAAAGGAAACACGAGTCCCGGGTGCTCGAAAGAGGCCGCACTCACGGCTTGTTCTACTCCCTCTCGATTGTCGTGCAATTTCATTTTCGCCGCTTCACCCCCATTTCGAGCGGTTTTGCTCCCTCGATTGAAATTTGCAAGGAAGAAAATTTCGATTCATTCGAAGGAATTAATTTCCGCGTGAGGGATATACACAAGCTTAAATGTAATAAATAAATACTCTTTTTTCTTTTTTTTTTTTAACGTCGAGAAATCGAGATTACGATAAATTCGATGATGTACAACATGAATGGAATAGCTGGACTGAAATAATTCTTGGAATTTTTTTTTTTTCCCCCATTTGGATGCCATTTTGAATATTAAGTGATATTGTTCTCGATAAATTGCTGAAAATCTAGCAATCTAGCATTGGATGACGTTAACGAATATCAAAATTTCGGCCGAGATGAGGTGCACGGTCTGTGATAACGTTGACTGACAGCTGTCGGAATATTTGGAGCTATCAATAGCTGCAAGTGATAGCACGTATGATTGGTCAGACACGCTCTCGATCTACTGAATACTCGTCGAGCGAATCATAAATTCGAATCAGCAAATTAAAAGTAAAGGTATTTTATTAATCAACTAATTTATCATCGATGAGTAAAAATACATTTGTTCGTCACGTTTTTTTTCACGTTCGTTTCCTTTTTCCTTTTTTTTAATTTTAATATTCTATTTACATTTTAATATACGCGTCGCGTGATTATCAGATTTATTTGATCATTAAACAGAATTACTCCAGAGCAGTAATGTAGCGTTGGATATTTTAATTAACTTAGAAAACACAGAGCACTTTATTTTAATTCCATATATATCGCGTAATTAAAAACGAAGCTTTGTTTGCCAAATAATTGTTCATGAATATGTACATACGCTCAGCCTGCCTTATTTGCAGCGATCCATCACTGGTTCCTCGTCCATCGTATCGTTCGTAAATGGAACATCATGCGAGATAAAATTTCTTTCTTTTTTATTTTTTTTTCAGAAACGCGTCTCTCTCAGCTGTGCTCGCTTCTCGTAAAATCTCTTACATTCTTTTCCCCCCTCCTCTGCGTAATTTTGGAGGAAATCCAAATACTCCAAATACTTTCAAGTTCCCCTCAGACGCGAAACATCGGTAGCTTTCGCGTAACTGTTGCACACGCGTGTATGCTCACAGTCTCTCGAAATAATGGGCGGATGTATAACGGAGGAAGCGAGGCGTTACACGTGCACGAATCCATAAACAACGCGTACAACGCTGAAATCGATCGATTGCTCAAGTTTTCGCGTACGTATCCAATTCATCGCGCTATCTAATCGACGAGGAAATGTGTATACTACTTTCCGAGAAGATACGCTCATTTTAAAAAATTCGACGTTGGTCTGTTGACTTTTAATTACTCCGGCTCCCGCTTGAAAAACTGGAACGGTATCCCCTACTCGAGGCCATATTTTCGGCTTCTTTGCTGACATTTCGCAAACACTGCAGTTGCCGGCAGTGTATTGGTAGCAGTGTGTCAAGCAGCCACTGATGAAGGAAACTGCAATGCTTGCGAAACGTTGGCACGAAAACTGCAACGTTTCCTTAACACAACCGAATAAGTCTTCTAAAAAAGAATATATATATATATGTGTGCGTGTGTATGTATATATATATCGAGGGAATAACCATAGGTACACGTTTCGCCGATTACCCAAGTGGCCAAGTGACCGTTTACAACACGGCTGTTTAATCCCCCATTCGTATCCGCGTTTCCACGTCCGTGGGTAAATGAGAATGATTTCGGGTCACAAACAGAGGGTAAATCGAATGAGCAAATGATTCGAGGCCAATCCCGGTGTTTCGAATGGGGAGCAACGAGCTCTCGGCCTGAACGAATTCACGCTGTTCGTAAACGGGCAGGGGCGAATTTATCCCTTCCCTTCCACCGTCGCTTGTGTTCCAGATTGGAGTGCGTGGTGAACGCCCTTTGCCGTGGCCTGAGTCACGCGTCAACCAGCCTTGCACGGTTGGTCCTCGACATGAATCTGTCCGGCGAGCAAGTGTCCAGGGTCTGCGATGCTCTTCGTGACTGCGTTCAAGTGCAGGCGCTTCACTTGCCCCATTTGGGATGCGGATGCGAGGGACTGGCCTCGGTCGCGGAGCTCCTCAAGGAGAGGCCTTTGCTCGCGCTCAATTTGGCCGGAAGTTGGGGCGCCAAGAACGAGGATCCGTCCAGCTCTGGAATCAGTATGGGTAAAACCTTGCCGTTTTGTTTTATTTCTCTTCTTTTTTTTTTTTTTTTTTTATTGTTTTGCTTCTTTTTTTTTTTTTTTTTTGTTTACTTTCCGACGACTCGTTCCCATTCTCGACTATTATTGCACAGTTGAACGTTGTAGATCGTAAAATTCCAAAAATAGCGGGAATGCTTACACGGTCGGAGTTTCGTTCCTGTCTCTTTTAATTTCCGACATTCGACGGTTCGTTTGCACAAGCTTCGGCAAACTGAAAGGATCGACAAAACTCGGAATAATAAAAAAAAAAAAAAATAGAAACGTTGAGCCGACATTCATCCGCGATATTAATACGGTCGAGCATTTAATAATAAGCGTCGGTAAAAAAAAGAAATTTAAAAATCTCGCGATCCATGGATATTCTCGTATTATCGATCTCGATTTAGCCTGCGAGCGTGCGAGGAGATTGATCAAGCTTAGAAAGTTGACGAAGCATGGTTCTTTCGTCACTCGATCGTGAGCTTAACAAACTTCCGGGGCTTAAGACGAGCCGAATTAACGATCACGCGGGTTAAACGTTTCCCACCCCGTCGTTGTTTAATCGACCGATTCGACCCGTTGCCACGTTGGAAAAAAAAGGGGGGAGTGGATGTTGGATGCTATTTTAAATTTTGATACGCGCCACTTCGCGTTAAACGCGATCCACTATCGGCCGCCATTAAGGCCAATCTGCATGATAGCGCGCCGACACGCTGCATCGAGATTTATTGCGATCCTGATGCACTTAGATGAAACCTAACGCGACGCGGTTGTCGAGTTAGAAACGCCAAATGCGTGAAATGGATCGATGGATTCGAGGTGATTCGAGGACAGGGTTAATCCTTGTCAAAATTGATCCCAATTTGCAATATTATTGAAAACGAATGCGAATGCTGTTGGCCAGATTCGACGAATTAAATTGTAAAAAAATGTAGTATCTGCAAATATATCGGTAATTTTAAATTGCTCGTTTATCTGAAAAAGATAATTCTTCGTATTCTTTCGTTTTTTCTAATAAATCAAATATCCAGAATTTTTCTAACTTTCATAAATAAAATTTATATCATAAGTTCAAAATATTAAATTTCTTCGTTATATTCAATTTAAGTTGCCCAGTTTATTAAGCTAATGACGAAGATGCCATTGATCTAAAATGGGAATATTGGCTCAACAAGGGTTGTCGAGAAGAGGCGAGCAACATCGGCGAAGATCGACATAAAGTGTTGAGTACGATAACATTGCCGGGCAAAGTGCCACTCTATCGAGATTGATTCGTTCCAGAATTTTTGACCTCGTTTTCTAAAAAAAAAAAAAAATCATCGAGACAATAATGAAAGCGCCAGAAAATCCTTTCGGGAAACGTGAACGCGAACCAGAAACGAGTTAATTGTCCGCGAGTGTGCGCCCATTAACCGGCCACGGAATTAGAAAGTTGGAATTAGAGCAGGCGGAAATCGGGCTGCGGTGAAGTTCCAGCGGCGTTTTCCATCGAACTTGAGCACGAAACTTGACAACCCTTTTGTACAAAAACCCTTTCACAAGCGCCATTTTGCACGTAGTACACGCGTGGGATCAACTTTCAACGCGTCTGCCTATTCTCTTCTCATAAACCGAGAGAAAGAGAGAGAGAGAGAGAGAGAGAGAGAGAGACAGAGAGAGTTTCTCTTATATCACGATTTATCTCGGATTACTACAACGGTTGTTCTAATTTGCGTTGGAATTAGTTTCGTCCTTCTCGAAATTCTTCTCGAGCCGTGGAAGATCGGTTTTCCTTGTTCCATCGGATTCTTCTGCAAACACGACGCTAGGAATGGTATAAAAATTCTCGGTCGCAATTCGATTAAAACGACGGAGTAATGAGCATTCTCGAGAATGAAAAGAGGAAAGAGGGAGGGAAAATATCGGGCAAAAGTCGAACGATCGAGGATCGTATCAGGGTTGTACCGAATACATTGCGGCGAAATTCTCTATGTAAGTAAACGATTCGATTGGGCTAGAATAAACTTTCCAACAGAAAGAGAGAGAGAGAGAGAGAGAGAAATTGCTGATCCCTCCACGAATCCATCTCGAGTCCTTCCCCTTCGACACAGATATTCTCTATCTCGGTGTTTGCACAACCAGGAGGAGAAAGGAAGAAAGAAAAAAAAGAGAAAAGAAAAATCAGCGACAGTTTGCACGAGGCTTGAATCGGGGTGGCCCGTTTCCCTAGGAATGATAACAACCCTTCGTTCTTCTCTCGAGAAAGATGAACAGCGGCCCCTCCTCGCTCGGTTTATACGCGGAGCACCGTGCAAACGACACTTTCCAAGTGAATTTCCGCTCCCAAATAACGTATTAATCATCTGCCCCTTTGTTACGTCCTGTCCAAACCTTCTCCCTTAACAGCCCCTTAACGTCTTCCTCCAACCCTCGCCTCCCCATATCCCTCGATCTTCTCCACTCTCTCTCCTTCTCTCTCCCTCTCTCTCTCTCTCTCTCTCTCTGTCTTCCTCATGCACATGCATGAATAGCCTCGACGAGGCCATTTTGGGAATACCTTTAGAGTCGTATCCCGTATCGGAATAGTTGCTCGTGCTTCGAAGATCCGCAAGAATAGATACATAGATTTCACTTTGCATTATTGAATTGTTCTCTGAATCGTATCGATAGATCGTGAAGTTATATACGTAAGATAATCTTCGGTGATAAGAATCTATAGATAAGACTGGAAGGATAAAAAAAATTTTAAATTTCACATACTCGATCTCGCAAATTCATCTACGCGGATATCAAATATCCGTGAAAAATCTACGCTGCATCCGTTCTCTCACGATTTACTTCTCCGTAATTCCTCGCATAATCCCGCGATAAACGCATAGAGCAAACATTCGGCTTGGAAGCACAACGATTCTCGCCACCTATCTCGTGTCTCGTTGCCCCAGACAAACGCTCGTCTCGCGGTTGATGTTATCGTCACGACCGATGTATCGGCAAACACCCGACCGTGTACACGGTCTGCTCCTGGTGTGTTACTCGTTCGTAGCTACGGCAATTACAAACAACCTAGGGCAACCCTCTCGTCGCCAGGATAGAACGCTCCTGTCTTCGTCTCGACGACGAAGAAAACGAGATCTCGAGGAAATTATCGATCGATCGTCTCTCGAAGGAGATCGCCTTGAACAGTGGTTGCGTAGTTGTGTTTCTTCCTCCATTGCGAGTCGTGGTATAGTATATATAGTAGTTCGTATCGTAGAATTTCGACGAAAAGGTAAAGGTTTCGAACGAGTCGAAGGAAGGAATCTTTTTTCATTCGAAGACACTCCAAGTCTTTCGATCATTCCCCCATTTTCTTTAAACGGATAACAGGAAGATCGAGTTTACTTCTGACTGGTCTGAAAGCAGTCCCTCAAGATCCCTCCGTTCCCTCCTCTCCACCTCTTCCAGCATCGAATCGAAGGCAATCTTTTTCCCGAGGCGGCGACGCCGTGTCTATAACCAACCCCATAGACAAATCAAATCTTTCGCTCGGCGGCTTCTCCAGAGGATTCATCGATTTATCCTTTTCTTCCCCTCCCTCTTTTTCGATAGCTACGGAACCGGATGCGAATGGGAAAATACGCGTGACGCCGAGAAACGACACCGAAACGGTTCACCGAAGAGAAAATATTCGTTTTGCCCCGTTTTGCTATCCAAAAGGAATCTGTGCATATCATTTCCAGCTGAACGATCGCTCGTGTACTCGTCAAAATATATATATATATGTATATAAAAGAAAAAAAAAAAATAATCGAAACTCGTGAGAGAAAATCTTGTTTTCAAGCGGTGGAAAAATTGGAAGCGATGGACGCAAATTGCGATGCAATTTCAATACGACGACTAGCTTTCGAATCCATTCTCGTAAAAGCCAATCGATCCCCGATAATAATCAGATACCCACCAGAAATCTTGGTAAATGATATTGCATAATTCTATCCCGCGGTTCAGAGACAATTATGATAATCCAATCTCCGTTACATAAACCATCTCGCGTGTTCACAATCCATTCATTTTCCAATTCTCTCTCTCTCTCTCTCTCTCTCTATCTATCTATCTATCCCTCCGGATGAACAATTTCAGCTTGCAATTCTGAAACATCGCGATATCAACCGTTTTTATCAACCGTTCTCACAGCGATTCCAGACACGATTAACCCCGAGCTCCCTTCGAGAATTCCCTTCCGATTCAAAATTGCACTTGTGTGCATGTATATCCGCACAAGTATCAACCTTCTTCCTTCCTTTCCAGGTCTTTCCTCTTCGAACGAGAGGAGCGAATCGCCGGCGGGCACGTCCGCACCAAGCGAGCGCCAATCTCTCTCTCTCTCTCTCTCTCTTGGATCTCAATAAAGGCTGGCCTCGAGCCGAGCACGCCTATTTGCCTCCGTTACGGGATTCTAATCAATCCGCTTCTGTCCCGGTTCCCTAACTCGATGCTCTAACGCCCGATAACAGGCAACGAACGAGAAAGATCCCGCTACGTGAGCTGTAAAATATTTAAGAATAATTTGTATCTCTGCGGAAAAAAGAAGAAGAAGAAGAAGAAAACTATTTGTCGACGAGTCCAAGGATCGACGAATTTCGAAATCTCTCCTTCCTCTCTTATCCGGATAAAATTGTCAATGGTTAATCCAATAAGATCGAAAGCTAAAGTTCCCCGAGTCCCTGCGACCACTTCCAGATTTCTACTCGTATTTCTCTACTCGTACGTTACAGAGGATCGATCGACTCGTATTAGGGAAGATTTTTTCGTAACGTGATTAGAAAAGTCTGGTTCTCGATCGATCCGATCGGAAAATAGATCTTTGCAAAACTCTGGTCTACGTAGGGATAGTGACCATTGGTTTCCTTCAATGGGAAATGGTATGAAACGTAATTCGCTTCGAGCAAGAACGAAATCGATTCGAAGAAATTGAATCTCTTCGTCGTCGATAATTGCAGAGAAATAATAATTTCTCACTAATCACGA